ACATTCTCCCGGAGAAAGGACATGTGCATTTTGAAATAAAGGTACCAACCCTACTTTCCCCAAAGCGACCGCTTTGTGTCAGTCAGCATGTTTTCTCTGGTAGCTGTTTAAGTTCTGCAGGGAGACACGATAGGTCACCCGGCAGCTTCACGAATTTTAAAATACCAGAACCACGCGCTTTGCAACTTCCCATGAAGTTTACGCTTGCTCAATGTCCGTGTAGTAAAGGAATATCTTAAAGCCAGTGTAAATCTTCGGCTACCGATGCCTGGCAATGCACTAACCGCATAAAGCATTTGACCGACGTATTCGCCTGTCTAATGGAGATAAGAAAATGCGACCTTGCCAGAACTGGTACTTACTGGGCAAGGATGCGGTTGTTATGCGAGAAAGAGAGACCGAGAGGGAGCGTCAACTTTCTAAGTACTGAATGCTCCACGGGAATTTTACGCATGGCTGGTAAGAGCCTTGACTGCAGCCACGTTTAATAAATGAGAGCTTTTTGCCCATTTAGCCCAAAACTTCAGAAAATGATTTAAGTTACTTTTTGTACAAACCGGAGTCTATTGCGTGAAGCTACGGGGGTCTTGCAGTCACCCAAATGAAGTAAGTACAATTGGGATTTTATGGTCTCAAGACACCAACTGCAAGCTTCGTCTCGTAGTCGACGCAGAAAGTGCGATAGTTCAGGACGGTCAGGTTCCATAACTGTTTTTAAGTGGTATATGATGAACTGCACTGTGAATTCCCTTTGCGTTTGTACCGAAAAACTCAATGGAAGAAGCTAACTACTGTATCAAACGATCTTTTAAGCGCATTGTGTGAATGAAGTTGGAAAACATCCCGCCACAAGGCACGACGACATGACAGACGGAGTAGAACTACAAAGGACAGATTTAAGATTCAAAAGACTTGCTAAAATTCCGATAACTGACAAATAATTGAAGTTCTGCTGGTGCGACTAAAACATATCGATGGAAGCAAAGCATTTAGAAAAGATCTAAAACACATGAAGCGATCCGCGGATCGTTGGCTGCCAACCAAAAATGTGATTTTAAATAGTAAGCATTATACATTGTGGCACGCGTGCATATATGGATGTGCCCAGCCACCGTGGCAAAGAAAACGGACTCTTTTCACTGATCATGGTTCTAAGAAAAGACTGCCTCTTCTTCCTGTTAGTCGTCCGCACAACCTTCATAATTCGTTCCTCATTGTATCGCCTCCTGGCTACTCCACGTCTAAAGGCTCTTTTATCTTTGCTGCTATGTGTGATTTTCTTTGGAATAACCTTCCAATCGATACTGCATCGCAAAATTGTCTATAAGCTTTCAAGAGAAGACTGCGCATTTGCTTTAACACTAACTTTACTGGACTTTATTTATCCTTCCCGAGCAGCTTTCTCAGTGACTTCGAAAAATGGTCATACTTAAGTTGCCTTGTCCGCTAGCATTTTCCTCTCAGCGTACGGTTTCGCCGTTCACTGTCCGGCA